CAATATCAAGTTGTGCATCTCCAGACCAATATCAAGTTGTGCATCTCCAGACCAATATCAAGTTGTGCATCTCCAGAGCAATATCAAGTTGTGCATCTCCAGACCAATATCAAGTTGTGTATCTCCAGACCAATATCAAGTTGTGTATCTCCAGACCAATATCAAGTTGTGCATCTCCAGACCAATATCAAGTTGTGTATCTCCAGACCAATATCAAGTTGTGCATCTCCAGACCAATATCAAGTTGTGCATCTCCAGACCAATATCAAGTTGTGCATCTCCAGACCAATATCAAGTTGTGTATCTCCAAAAACCTTTTTGTGAAAAAGAATTTAGTCACTAAACACTCAAGCTGAATTAAAATCACATGAATAATGGATGATAACGAACACTCATACCAAGTTTCGTCAAAATCTGTCAAGAATTGTGCCTTCTAGAGTGTTTACGAGCTAAAAATTGAACGGTTTGCAAGAACAAGGGCAATAATTCATACTAAATATTTTTCGATTTCGCTGATTTTCAATAGGGTCTATCCTTGGGTGATTAAGAACACTCATACCAAGTTTTGTTAAAATCCTTCAAGAATTATGCCTTCTAGAGTGTTTATGAGCTAAAAATTGAACGCGTTTTCAAGAACAAGGGCAATAATTCATACTTAATATTTTTCGATTTCGCTGATTTTCAATAGGGTCTATCCTTGGATGATAACGAACACTCATACCAAGTTTCGTCAAAATCTGTCAAGAATTATGCCTTCTAGAGTGTTTACGAGCTAAAAATTGAACGCGTTTGCAAGAACAAGGGCAATAATTCATACTAAATATTTTTCGATTTTGCTGATTTTCAATAGGGTTTATCCTTGGGTGATTACGAACACTCATACCTAGTTTCGTTAAAATCCTTCAAGAATTATGCCTTCTAGAGTGTTTACGAGCTAAAAATTGAACATGTTTTCAAGAACAAGGGCAATAATTCATACTTAATATTTTTCGATTTCGCTGATTTTTAATAGGGTCTATCCTTGGATGATAACGAACACTCATACCAAGTTTCGTCAAAATCTGTCAAGAATTGTGCCTTCTAGAGTGTTTACGAGCTAAAAATTGAACGCGTTTGCAAGAACAAGGGCAATAATTCATACTAAATATTTTTCGATTTCGC